GTGGTGCTGCCTCTGATGGGGTTTGTCTTTCTGAGAGTGTTTACTGCTTGCTTCGTCATGTTGGCTGCCCTTAGCTGCTCTTCAAAGTGTGTTTTCCTTTAGTTTCTATCTATCTCTCTGTTAGTGCTCTTGTCCTGCCTGTGTGACACTGTCTCATTGATAGCTATAAAGAAATAGGATATAATAGCTTTTACTATTATCTCAACAATCTAAGGACTGGAGCAGATGAGCAGGAAAAAGAACCTCGATCCTGCAGCCCACTTTCTGAAATAGGTCAAAACCCTGCTGTCCGCAGAGTCCACTCTGAAAGTGGGCTGAACACCCACAGGCTGTCCACACCAGGAGATGTGAAGCCATGCTTCAATGTTATTTTTTTATCGCCTCCCCACCATGCATGTGCACCATCACAAGAAAATACCACCTGTGACCTTCAGTTCTCTCTCTCTTCCCACCCAGATGCCAATCCATTGGACACCAACCCATTCCTGTACTATGATGCACATTTTCTACCTTGGTTTGAAGTATCCCAGGTTGTTTTTGCTTCAGCATTTAGCCTTGGAGCCCTTCACTTTCCTCCCATTTTCATCTTGTGTGTCTAAACACTCAACCTTCAAAGTGGTTAGAAGCCACTTTATTTGGCCAGTGAGGACTACCACTAAGTTAGCCACAGCAGTTTCTTTAAGCTAAACACTTTACTGAGCCTCCAGTACAAATAAGCAATAGTAACACATCTGATAGTTTACATTACCTATAGAAAAGGCAAGTGACTAAAACACAAAATACATTTTTATAATTCTCAGTGAATATAGCCAATCTGTATTTTAAATGAATGAATAGCTAAACATATACAAGATTCATGCTGTCAATGTTCATGGTAGGACAGAGAATTTACAATTAAAATGGTTTCATTTCACTGTTCCGTACTGCTGAATGAACTCGTTGTTGTTTTTAAAATGAAATATAGCAAAAAGAGAAGAATTATGGAAAAAAATCTTTGAATTTTTGATAAATAATCCCAAAGGGAAGGATTTATGTTTTTGTAAAACATATTAATATACAAGGAAAAGCTTCTTATTTAAATTTTCATTCTGTAGAGGGATCTTTTTAAAGAAAAAAGTCCTTTGAAACTATATTGGAAATGTGTCCAGAGAGAGCTCCAAGTATTGTGTCATTTTACAGAAGGTTTTTTAAAAGACTTTTCAACAGTCTGCTTGCTGGGATTATTGGGTCTGATAGATTAAAACACTTGATAGCAGTTTGAAGTCAGGCAAGATTTCCATGCAGATCTCTGAAGACTTGTCTAAAATGATTTAACACATTTTTGATTTAAATTATTTTGATTTGTAACACCAATATTTAGAAACCAAATACCAATTCTGAATTTCTGAAATGTGTTCTTCACATTTGTGCTAAAGTGCAAACCAGTAAATGGCCTATGGGAAGAGAAGGCTTGTGCCTGCTCCAAAGCTATGGGGCCCCACTAGGACAAGTCCTATATGTGCATTAAAATGAGTTAGCTCAATTGAGAGTTCCTCTGCACTGTAGAAATAACTTAATAATTGACACCACATTAAGTGCTATAGCTCCATCCTGTGGAATCCTAGGATTTGTAGGTTTACAAGGTCCTCAGCCTTCTCTGCCAAAGAGTGCTGGTGCCTCACAAAACCACAAATACCAGAATTCTGTACGATGTAGACATGGCAGTTAAAGTGGTGTCAAACTACACTATTTCTACAGTGCAGATGCACTCTGAGTTAAATCATTTCCCATACATGAAGATAATGATTACATTGGTAGCATAGACTCCAATCATACATGGAGAGAGAAATTCCAGAGGTGTAAGCATCACAAACATACAATGGCTAATGGAGTACACCAAGGAGTTTAAAGGGAGGGGGGAGAGAATAAACATGTGCTTTATAGACTATAGCAAAACATTTGACTTTATAGATCACGAAAAGCTTTGGAATGCACTCAAGGACATGAGGGTGCCAGTATATCTGATAGTCCTGAGGGTGCCAGTATATCTGATAGTCCTGTATCAAGGACAACAGACCACTGTCAGAACTGAATTTGGAGAAGCAGAGTGGTTTCCAATAGGTAAAGGGGTCAGACAAGGCTGCATCCTATCACCATATTTGTTCAACTTATATGCTGAAAATATCATAAGAAAAGCACAGTTAGACTCAGAAGGAGGAGTGAGGAGGAAGGAACATCAACAACTTAAGGTATAAGGATGACACAATAATACTGGCAGAAGAAATCACAGACCTGGAACAGTTACTGAGGATGGTCAAAGATGAAAGTGCAAAGGGAGGATCAATGCTGAACTTAAAAAAACCAGAAACAAAAATAATGATCACAGCAGAAATATATAAACTCAATCCAGACAATGAGGAAATTGAAGTAGTTGAATAATTCCCATACCTAGGGTCAAACATTGACCAGAGTGGTGACTGCAGTCAAGAAATAAGAAGAAGACTACGAATGGGTAGGGCAGCTATGAAAGGACTAAAAAAAGATGCTGAAGAATAAAGATATAAAAATGAGCACTAGTCAGAATCATTCAGGCCATTATATTCTCTATCACCATGTATGGATGTGACAGTAAAGGAAGCAGGCAGACAGAAAGTCAACAAATTTGAGATTTGTTGCTGGAGAAGAGTGCTGAGGCTACTGTGAACAGCCAAAAAGACCCTGACCAGAACAAGCCAGAGATCCTCTTGGAAACCAAGATGATCAAATTGAGGCTGTCCTACTTTGGCCATATAACAAGAAAGCATGGATCACTAGAAAAAACAATAATGCTAGGAAAGGTGGAGAGTAGAAGAAGGAGAGGAAGACCACATGCTAGATGGATGGACTCAATCAAAGAGATCATAGGCATTTTCAGGGCCTGAGCAGAGCAGTGGAAGATAGGGCGTCTTGAAGGTAACATTCACAGGGTCACCATCAGTCAGAGTTGACTCGAGGGCAGCTAACAACAACAGCGAAATTAAACAAGCAGGTGAAGGAAGCCTTGCATCATTAAACAAAAACATGTTGAATTTACTGGAGACCACTTCAAAGCTTCTTCAAAATGTATCTAAGGGATTATCTATTTTTTTTATCAGTCCCACTTTTTAAATAATACCATGGTGGTGATACGCAGTGAGACCAGCTAATCTCCTTTCCCCCTTTCTCTCCATTTTGCTGTTCATATAGGCTCCATAACAGATTCTGGCAGCAGCTGCTCTTAACCTTGCCTGCAATAACACAGCTACAGTTGGACTGGCTACAGCAGAATCCCATTTCTTTACCAGATTTTTATTGGTTTTCTACTATTGTCTACCAGAGACATGTTGTTGCAATACAAACTCTGTGTTTCTTCAGCTCTCTTTCACCGTTCTCCCAATGCTATTGCTTTTAAAACAACTACATCTACTACTACTATTACTTCTAGCTAAGCATAGAATGAAGAAGTAAAGGCCGGCTGGGTGGGTATTAAAATATTTTGTTAAAATGGAGCTTCTTTGTCTGAGGTGCTGTTAGACAATGCGTGTTTGTATTTATTATGTTCCTTGACAGAGGAACACATGTTTTCAAACAGAGCTCATTTTGTATACATGAGGACTCTGTATATATGTGTGTCACCCAGTTTATCATTCTAATTTAAGACCTAATGTTTCATGTTATAAGATGAATATCTTCACCAAAAGCAAAAGGCTATAGCAATAGCAATAGCAAGTACACTTCTATATTTCTTATCAGTGTACTTAAGCACTCCCTAAGCTGTTTACTATGTGTTAGCTAATTGCCTCCAACAAGCTGGGTATGCATTTTAGCGACCTTGGAAGGATGTAAGCCTGAGTCAAGCCTGAGCCCCTGGCTGGTATTGAACTTGCAACCTTATGGCTTGTGAGTGAGTGGTTGCAGTACAGGCATTTAACCACTGTGACACCAGGGCTCTAGTGCCACCAGGGCTAGGAAGGCTAAGAAGACTCACAGCTTGGAAATAACTAGTTAACTAACTTACTAAATTATTAACTCATAAGATGTCTTTAAAATCACTTAACATACTAGATTCCCTGACTAAGCTGAGGTTAATCCTATACTTTAATGAGTTAACTGATTTTGGATCATCATTAGAACTCATCCGGGAGGCTAGCTTCTTCTTCTCTCAGTTTCAGTGAGACAGTAAAACGAGAAGATGTCAGAAGAAGAAAGATGAAGACATATGTTGCAAGGCAGGCTTATCTACCTGCACTGGGGAAGCAATTGAAGAATGAAGAGAAGAAAAAAGAAATTAGTCCTGGCCTCAAAACAGAGGAATACAATGTACGTTGTACACGTTGCTTGTGTAATTTGTGCATGTTGCTTGTGTAATTTGCTCAGTAGTAGGTGCATCAAGAGCCCTTTCAGAAGATCAGGCTTTGGGGGCCTGAAAGGCAGGCATTCTCCCCATTGCCCCATAGGGAGGCTTTCTCAGGGGGTAGGAGGGTACACGGTGACTGCTTTCAATTTTTCTCATCAGTTGATGCTATTCTCAGTTTTATTCTGATTTTATTCAGTTGATTTTATTCTGTCAGGATCTTAGGTCCTTAGGTCCTGCCATATTTTACAGTCTTATATTTAGTACATGCTTTGTAATATTGTATGGTGAGTTATGCTTGTGGTGATGCTTGGTGGAATGATTGTTTATCTTTCTTAAAGATAGCCAATGATCAGACGGGAGGGAAGGAAAACTTTGATTTGAATTGTCAAGGTCAGTTTGGTGGGAGTGCTTGGTATGGAGCAGGAAGGAGGTGCAGTTACAGGAACAGGAATGTTTTCATTAAAAGATTGTAAGGGGGAGCAAGCACACAAAAGACTTGAACTGCTATGTGCTTTTAATATATTCTGTTCCTTCAGTCCTGACAATATCATTCTGCTGTCAACAGCTTTAGTTTCTGAATATGCTGAAGCTTTTGTTCCTGAACTGAAGTTATCCATGATAATATTGTATTATATTATTATGTAGCGGCAGCATGGTTTAGTGGTTTGAGTGTAAGACTAGGACACTGAAGATTGGGATTCAATTCCGTGTTCAGCCATGAAATCCCAGTAGATGACCTTGGGTGAGTCACACAATTTCATCTCTAGGAAAAAACCATGACAGGTTCACTTTACAGTCATCATAAGTCAGAAAATATTTGAAGGCACACAATAGCAACAGCAACTACTATGCAATATACAATATTGCATTTATTGTAATATTTAGGTTGAGCTTTGATAAGAGATGTGCTATGTTAAATTATTCATTCTTGAAAGCCAGAATTGATAATGTAATCAGTTTCCCCCCTCTGCCAGAGGTCTTCCAAAGCTATGCAGTTTTCAAAGTACCCTCATATGGAGGAAAAGTCTTCAGTGTCAAGGTATAAGTTGAGTGAGGATCAGGAAATATATAGCTTTCCCCATCCTCTCTCAACTCCCCCTTGCCCCTAAAAGACACCAGGAGGGTGAGGGGAGATAAACAAGGATTATTATATATCTTATTCTGTTTATATCTTACAACTGTAAGGGTTTGCAATGATTAAATAGCAATATATTTTGATGTAGAACCCAAGTGTTTTCAGAGATCAACAAAGCCAAATGTCTGTATGTCAGACAGTAAAGAAGCATGGGCTTATGGTTCTGGGCATTTACACAACCTAACTCAAAATAAAGATATAGCAGGAAAAGTCTGGCTGAGAAAATAATAAATGATGAGTATGATGTCCCTGATAGAAGCCCAGCACTACAGTATAGAAACAACAACAACAAAAACAAATAGAGGAACAATTAATAGTTACAAGAGTTCTCAATCAAACTATATAATGGTAGGTAGCAGAATAATGGTGGCCAGTTGCACTTGTAAGTGATCAGGCCCTCAATAACCTTGTATAAATGGTTAGTTGCACTCTTATGATAATAGATAATTAATGGCCATGTATAAAAGGCCAGTAAAACCTATTGTTAATTGCCTGGTAACAGTTAGCAAACACCCCTGGTAGATGAATGTGTAGATAAGGAGGGCATAGGAAAGGGTATAAATGCCCTCCTTATCTCCAGAGACATGACAGACAGGTTGTTTATGAAAACCTCGAATGAGATCACACCAAGCTGTCTCTGGAAGCTTTGTTTGTTTGTTTTCTTTTCTTCTGATATTGTTCCTACCTGGTGAAGGTTAACAAATACTTTTAAAATGTTGGTAAGAAAGAGGGAGAGAGAATCTCCCCTACAAATATTAAATAGGCTATTAGGTACAGCACTGTGGTGCAATGACTGTTATCAAGGTATATTGTATAACAGATGCTTCCCTTTCAGTGAAGTACCCTAAGACGAACAGAGTGTGAAGTGTTTGAATCCTTGCATTTCTCTCTCTCTCATTCTTTCTCTCTCACACTCTTTCTTCTATTGACTTCATTTATATGCTGTTTTTTGCCCAAAGTGTGATCCAAAGTGTAACATCTTATAAGTGTGTGCCTACATAAGGAGAAGTCTGTATTCTTCCTCATGATGTGTGTATGTATTATATTTTATGTTTATATTAATAAAATAATCCCAAAGTTTACCAAACTGCTTGCTCATTCTTTTGTACTAAATATCTTGAAATTCCAGTACTCGTGCTTAAGTGGAGAGTTGCTAAATGTTTCTGTTTGAACTACACATGGACAAATGTTCAGAAGTGACAGCATAATAGTTTCATTTATCTCTCACCTCATTTCTACTATATGGAGCCTAAATATTATTACAACATGGATCCATACACATATACCATAAGTAAATCCCATTTGGAACATCCCATTATTTATTATGGGTAAGCATGGCTGTGAGTGTGCAAGAGTACATGTTCATATACGCAAATGATAATTTTGTTCATGATACTGTAAATTCAAGCAGTCAAATGTGCTCTCACTATGCCTGCAGTCCCATATTGTCTGTTGGGCTGTGCACAAGGGATTCTGGGACTGCTAGTTTTTCAAGGCAGACTAAAATCTCTCTTAAACTTAACTTCACAAGCACACATTTTATGTTGTTCTGGACAGGACACTGTATGTCCCATTGTTCAGAATGGTGTTTGTTCTGCTTCTGATTGGCCACAATAAATGCATTTATTTATTTTATATTCCACTGTCTCACAAAGATCTAGACAATAGATATATAAGGAATTATAGCCCCACAAATATGGTTAAGCATGGTCCAGTTAGCCTCATGGACTGACCCACCATGGGAATAAAGAGAACTGACAGAAAAGACTGGATTGAATAAGGGCCACTTTATTAACTTATTAACATATCAAGTCTATTAAACTGTGAGATGCAAGAATGGGAAGCAACATGGTAGGGAGGAGCTGAGGCAAAGGGTCTCCCCCAGACCTCCTCCTCAGCTTCCCCTAGGTGAACACAGCCAGATTAATCAGTTACCTGGGCATATAACTTTAAAGTACAAAATGTAACCTAGTGTAACCTATAGAGTGTGAACTATAGTCAGTTATATATCTGAGAGACAGTGTAGATATTAGCATAAAATTTGCTTCACCTTCAGTTCAGTCTGGGGGAAATGCCAGATGCATTGAAATGTAAATAAGATAAGCAAAACACCTATACATTTGTCCTCAAGAAGAAAAGACAACAGTAAATTTGAAGGAGGATAAAACTTGGTAGGTACACTAGCTCAGACAGGTAGGATGGCAATGACTCCTACTGCACTGTAGACAGTGCATACTTATAAAGAGCTTTGTTTTGATTAGATTGAGATAAGCTAAAGGTAATGAACACCTTTGTTTTCATTGGACAGCTGACAAGCTGAGTAGGAATAAGGAAAGAATAAGAAGAAGCCAAGGAATACCCCTATCAGGCTGCTTTGCAAGTTTCCATTAAATGAAGACAGTTGTTAAGACTAATAGATTGTTCATTTATCCCATCTTGCCTAGTATGCTGGAAAGTGTTGATACTGGTAAGGCTGGGCTAAGAACAGTTATGGTATATGGTGTTTTGTGTGTGTGTGTGTTTTAAAATGTTAATACAAACAAACACACAAACACAAATACTATGTGTTTGTTTGCGTTAATCAGGCAAAGAAACAATACGAATGAACAAACTTAACTAAACTGACCTACATATTTTTTTAAAAAAAACCCACTAACTTCCCCCTCCCTAGCCAATGGTTTTATTCCCCCTTTTAAATTATATGATTTCTTTAAAATTGTTTTCTGTTTTTTGCTTCTATTTTAAAATCAAATATAATTCATTTAATAAAACTTAAAATTGATATATATCTCCAATATGACATCATAAAAAATACTTCCCAATTGTTCTTAAAATTCATCAAAAAATTTTCCCTAATCAAAATTTCAATTTCTCCACCTCTTCAAATTTGACTACCTTCATCAACAAATCTTGTGTTGGTGTAACAACTTCTGTCCATCTCTGAGCCAAAACAGTCCTTGCAGTAGTAATCATGTACTGTAAAGGCCTTCTGTGCATTTTCTCTAATTCTCTTTTCAACAGTCCAAAATAGGAAAGTACAATATATATGTTCCAACATATATTTGAGTTCTTAAATATTTTTGACAGTCTATTGGTGCTAAATAGCATCTATGTATCATTTTATAAATACCGGTATTCTCTTTCAGATCATAACAATGTAAATTTTAAAGATTTTATCCACATTTTTCCCATTGTTCCATTAAAATAGGGGAACCAATATTTTGAGCCCATTTCACCATGGATTCCTTTGCTTGTTCCGCATGTTTCAAATCTCAACAGTTTGTATAACTTAGCAATCAAATGATCATCATCATTACACAATTGAATCTCCATTTCATATTTTCTTATCTTCAACCCATTTATTTTTTATCCACTTTAAATCTAAACCAGTTTAGCAAATAACCCACACATTCTAATTCTTTTCTTGATTTCAATCTACACTGACTTTTTCAATTACCCACAGGTCTTTATATATTAACCACTTCTCTTTTTCATATAACTTTTTCTTTTAAAATGCTTCAATAGGAGAGCAGCAAAGAAGCAGCTTTGTATAAAACCTGCTTTTATACTTATTCCATAGAATAGAATAGATATAGAATAGATCTACTTATACATCTAAAATGGATATATATAGAATGGAATGGAATGAAATAGGTATATGTTTATGTGGAAACAAATAGTGTTAAGATTTTAAAGGCTTGAGGAAATTAACCCTTGCATGCCTGTGTAGACACAAAAGCTATTATAGATGAGTAATTCCTCAACAAATAAAAATGGATGCAATACTAAATGTATGGTTAGAATAGCTATGAATATAAGAGACAGAATTCTGTACACAGATAGCCTTTATGCAAAGTCTTTATAATGCCTTACAGACTATGGAAATTATAGGAAAAATCTGGTCATGAGGAATGAGTGAAGTATGTAGTATTGAAAGATATTGCTACTCTCTGTATTAGTCAGTACTTACTCTGTTAAAGAATAGAGAGAGAAAGACCCTATAAAATATCCTGATGGAAGGGTAACTTCGTCATGGCCATATGATGTAATATACTGAATATAAGGTGCTTTACATGCAATGTGATGTAATGAAGTTGAGCCCTAAGAGGGAATTTTATGTTTATATATCTATGAGTGCATATAATAAAAGCCTCAAAGAGTTCCAAAGAGCCTTCTCAGTTCCCATGTAAATATCCTGAAATGCCAGTATTTAAGAATGCTTAAGTGGCTTGTTGATGTTAACCATCTGCTTCAACCACCATCCTGACTTGGGTACTCAAGTGGCCAGATGGTGATGGCAGGTGACTCCAGACAGAATCCAGATCATCTGGCAAGAGGCAAATACCCCTAATCCCTCAGTCTAAAGTGTGAGGAAATATGTATTTTTCAGCCTAAGCCCTGAGGACAACTCAATATTTGGGTTGCTTCCCAGCTGGCCTTCCTCAGGCAAACCTAAGGAATCTCTTCCCTAGGTCCTGTGACCTAAAGAGGAAAGTCTGGAGCCCTTCTCTTCAGGAAATGGGTGTCAGAGATGCTCACTTCAATCTCCATTTTCTCCTCACCACCACCACTACATGACAAGT